TCTTTACAAGTCCATGTGTGCAAAGTGTCTATTCTGAGAGGCTAGTTGTGAGACATGTTTCAATGAGTTTCAGAGATATTACTAATCTTTTCAGCATCTGTTGAGCTGCCTCTTATTGCATTCTGAACTGATTCAATCCCTGCTTTTTTCTTTTATGTGCAAGGCTTAATTTTCTTGACCTGATCAGCTTTTGAATGCCATCAGTTCCCTTAGGCTCTGTTTGATTCTGCTTGTCTTTTTTGGCGAGACTCTATAAAATGCTTCAAGTTGCTTTATCAACATGAACACATTTCAATATAATGAGCCAATCTGCTTTGTTTGTTCTCTGAGAGGGAAGCTTTGCTTTAGTTTTCAGAGATCTGATTGTTTATGTATAGGGCAAAAATAAATGTTATTCGGTGCAAGTATCACAGAATGATTGCTAAGATGGCATTCTCCCATTTTTGCTAGGCCTACTGCTATTCTTTGACGCCAAAGTACGATGTATAATAGTTTGAATAAAGATGTTACTTATGTCGGTGAGAAAATAGACACTTATCACTAACATGTTTTTGTACTTGCTGATGACAGTGGTAGCTTGACTTGTGCTTTTATCCGTGCAGTTTGATTCCATGGTTAGTCAGTAATAGTAATCATTACACAGACTTACTGCTACACAGAGCACATTTGGGAGCAGAGCAAATATGAGGTTGAGATGATGAATAAACAAAGACAAAGTTCAGCAGCTCTGATCAGTCTTATAAAAGGGAAGTCTCCCTCTGACCTGCCTGTGCTTCCCTCGGCTTCAACCAGGAGAAGGTAAGTAAAAAGATTCAGAGAGCTCATATAACATGTTTATGTAAACACGTTTGAATACTCTTTCAAAAGTGAAAAACTATGTTTGACATCATATGTGTGAGATGTCCCTGTGTACACCGGAATTGGAAAATATGTAACATCTGCAACGTGTTACAAATGTAAATGTAGAGTTGTTAAAAATTACTATTTGTATCACTCTTTTGATGTATTATTTTAAATTCGGGATTTTTTAAAACGATCTCATTTTGTATACTATTTATCAAGAGTTTAAAGTATAATGTCATGAGTTTAACATTCAGAAAAATCTACACATTTTCTGTGTTGTAAATCAAATGTCATTGACAGTAACTGAACAACCCACCTACTTATTAGATTATCATCAAATAAAAATATTCAAATTTAAACGTGTTTTAAGCCCTGATTGGTGCACAGACACACATGACATTTGCTTTCTAAATAAACCAGTATTCTCAAAACCAATTAAAAAATAAATGCAAAGAATTTGCTAAACATGGCGTGTACAGTAGGAACCTCTTCTTTGTCATTAGAGGGTTAGGGAAATATGTGTAAGGCTTTTAGAACAATATCTTTAATGTAGCTTCTAGGAAAATCAGTCGACTAATGTTTCTCATGTACAAACATTTCTTCTTCTTTGCCTTGCTATTGGATTGTAGATAGTAATGGGGGACATAGAGGGGAAAACAGGCCGCAAAGGTCAGTTTTGAACTCTGGAGGGGCGCCTGCTAAAGAGGCAGGCCCCCCTCCCAGCAGCAAATATTGTGTAATCCAAATTAACAATGTACTTTTGAACTTTGGTCTTAGGTCACAATGATGCATGCCGCCTTGGGGATATGGATCTTATCAGCAGTGATCTGCGTGGGGAGAGGAGATCACCATTATGGCCACAGTCAGGGAGACCAGAACACCGGACCTGAACCCAGCGCCGCCAGCCTCTCTCTGGTGAATTCAGCAAACAAACAGTTCTCCTTTGAATTGTACAGCAAGTTAGCAGCTCATGCTGACTCAGCGGGAAAGAACATCTTCTTCTCCCCAATCAGTGTGTCTCACGCCTTGGCTGCCTTGTCCGTAGGAGCACGGAGTATGACCCACAGTCAGATATTCAGCGGCTTGGGTTTCAACAGCACCCTCTTGACACAGGAAGAAGTTAATCAAGCTTTCCATAAACTTCTAGAAGAGACAAACAGCCCATCTCAGAAAGAAGTCAGCGAAGGGACTGCTGTATTTATAGACAACCGCCTCAAACCAAAGCCTGAGTTCCTGGAGACCTTGAAGCAGTCCTACTTTGCAGAGGGGTTCAATGTCGACTTCACCCAAACCGCAGAAAGTGCCAATACCATCAATAAGTATGTGGAGGACAAGACTAACGGGAAGATAGCGAAACTTGTCGAGGGCTTGGATCCAAGCACAGTGATGTATCTCATCAGCTACATCTACTACAAAGGTATCAGGTTTCATGAGAAGAAGAAGATCTAGGGCGACTGTGGCATTGAGGGAGTGCGGTCGTCTTTCAACCAGAAGGTTGTGAGTTCGATACCAGCCCGTGCAGTCAACATGTCGATGTATCCTTGGGCAAGATACTTAACCCTGAGTTGCTCCCGATGGCATGGCCAACGGTGTGTGAATGTTAGGTCCTAGTGGTACTGCTCTGTATGAATGGGTGTGAATGGTGAATGACATGTAGTATGTAAAGTGCTTTGAGGGGTCGTAAAGACTGGATAAAGCGCTATATAAGTACAGTCCATTTACCATTTATCTGTTTTTTGTTTTTTTCCTACACATTTAGGGCTGCAACCCCGAAGCAAAACAGCATTTTTCAATCTATTCATTCAGGGCTGTTTTGCTTTCACACAAAAATCCACATTTATTTATTATTTATTCATTTTACTTACTTTTGCATCTGTAGATTTCTCCTGAATCCATTTAGACTTCATCATGAATGTGAATAATCAAATACAAAAAAATTTGAAAAATATGTCATACAGTAAATAAGTGTCATAATGTAAGTAATCAACTTGTTGATTCCAAAGTGACATTGTTTATTTTAATATTTTTTACGCCATTCACTCTTAGCGTCTTGTGACTTATGCTTACACTTTGTCTCTTTGAAGGTAGTAAACTCTAGATTATTTTTTGTCATACTTTGAGCCAGAAATCTCCATTTCACTAGCAATTACGTACACCAAAGTTTTACTCCGATCTATATTCTGAAGGTTTTAACAGAGGGGTTTGTTCTTAGTTATAGCCTGGTCTATGTGATTCCTAAAAACATCGCAACATATTATTTCTCCCAATATTTTCCTCTTTTAAACCCTTTATTACTTGGTTAAAATGTTAACCACAACATTTGTTTTACTACCTGCTCATCATCCAACAGGAACTTGGGCGACTCCATTTGATGCAATGCTAACCAAGGAGGATATCTTCAATGTGGATGACAACAACAAGGTTCGAAGACGCAGCATTAATCCAGAATGGTTTTGAGTCTCATTAAATATAGATAATTGAGCATCCTTGTATGTGTGTCTTTTCTGATCCAGACACCTCATGTTTGATATTTTCCCAGGTTGCAGTCCAGATGATGAACATGGAGGACACTTTTGATTCCTATTACGACCAGGCAATCAACACGTCAGTCCTCCACCTGCCCTTCAACAGCACTTACTCCATGCTGCTGATGTTGCCTGACGACATGGCAACGCTGGAGTCGGCCATTTGCCCAGGGCATGTCACCAAATGGCTGAAGTGGATGAGGCGAAGGTTTGGACAATTCTAAAATCATCATCAATTTCTTGGTTTCTAACATGGAAGGTTTGACACTGTAAAAAACTCAGCTGTGTCCTGGTAGATCAGTTATTTCTGTCAGATCATAACTTATTGTTTGCCTATTTCTCATTTTATTTTAGGAGATATGATGTCTTTATTCCAAAGTTCTCCATCAAGACCTCCTACACACTGAACGATGAGCTGATCTCAATGGGAATGACCGACATGTTTAGTGATCTTGCAGATTTGACTGGCATTTCAGAGGGGCATAAACTGGCAGTCTCAGACGTAAGGTCACATATTTCACACACATTTTCTTCCCTACATTACATCCATCTAACTTTATCTCTGTTTCACTGCAGGTTGTGCACCAAGCTACCCTTGATGTCGATGAGGCCGGAGCCACTGCTGCAGTAGCCACAGGCATCGGCATCACACTTATGTCCTTCCAGAGCATCCCTGTCTTGAAGTTCAATCGTCCATTTATGGTTACCATCGTTGAACGCATCACAGAAAACATCCTTTTCTTGGGCAAGATCATCAACCCGAAAATCTGATGGGATAAGCAGATTTGACTTGAGCACAGCAGTGACATCACATATAAAAAACCCTAAACAAAATGTTGTTCTTTGGTCTTTATTTTGTGTTGCAGAAACAAAGAGTATTTGTTTTAGTTTGTGAAGGTCAAATTAGGCTGGGATGAAAATATTAGCAACAGCTATCAGCTTTTATTACACATGCAATAAAATCAGAGACTTTGTAGATCATTTATTAGTTTATCCTCTAACTATCTTTTCTGCAGTTTCTTCCTAAAAAAAAACATGTTTTCATGGCAGAACACTTATTTCTATATTTCTCTCATATATATATATATATATATAAAACCTTTTTTCTAAGATGTTTAATACGTGTGGTGTATGTGCTACCGAAGAGGATATTTATTGTTAAGAGAATAATACAAAACATTGATTTATTATGAATTAGGCATATTTATTGCAAATTATTGGTGAATTTAGGACGAATCTATAGACTCTTAATACATATAAAATTAACAATTAGGTGTGTATTTTTTGATGTTTTTACGGTAGTTTGCAATAGTATTACAAATGAAGTACTATATGGTTATGTTGTGTTTGTACTATAAATATATTTTAATTCTATTACTGTCGTGCTTTAACTTGGGTAAGATTTTTTAATTTAGTATTTTTGCTTCTAAGCAAGTATTTCTACTCTACTTCTACTTTTTAAATTTTTAAATTGTAAAAATATCTAAGTTGCCAACTTATTTCCTCCATATTCTGTTTGCCTGTAGTCTCCTCGTGGGGCTGTGGGTGGCAGCAACGCACCTTGTGTAGTCTGTTCTGCGGGAATTAACAAATCCCACGAAGAAGAAGTTTTTCGTGTTTTGATTGGACGGCTGTAAGTTTGTTTCAGACATGGCCGAAACAACGGGAGAGGGACCTCAAGGAGCACCATTTTTTGACAAAGACAGAATTCAAAACAGCCCCGAGGAAGAGGCCAAGCTGGAGAGGAAGCATTTCTGGAGAATAATCGATGCTTTTAGATTGTACAGGTATAACAGTGCTTAAAAACAAAGTACCATCCAAGTGACCGTTTTTATCAACAAACGTCCGTTGTTCCGGATTAACTGGTTCCCCGATCAACTGGTTGACAGATGTGGAGGCGTGGCCTTCGACTGAAATACACATTTCGATCGCTTCTTCTGTCGTTTACATAAATCTTTTGGTATATTAGGCTTCGATAGGAACACTTTTATGCACATTCAGTACCAGTGTGTGAGGTTGTGGTTACGATGGCGATATCCGGACGCGAACAGCGAGGACTACACAAATAAAAACGAGTTGACATGGGGATGTCTGTTCAAAACATTGCGAGCTCCAATAAATCATTTAAACCAGCTATTGTTGCCAGACTAATTACTGAATATCGTTCTTAATGTGATACCAAGTCCATCTGAGACCTGTGTACACCTTCAGACAGCCTCCAAGTGAAGCACACGTTGTTTACTCACAGTTTGAAAGCAGCGTGGAGAAGTCTTCAGCTGTGTTAAGTTGTGATCCGCTCGAATACATCATTAAAACCAGCTATTGTTGCCCGACTTATCACTGAATATCGTTCCTAATGTGATACCAAGTCCATCTGAAACATGTGTACACCTTCAGACAGCCTCCCAGTGAAGCGTACGTTGTTTACTCAGAGTTTGAAAGCAGCGTGGAGAAGTTTTCAGCTGTGATAAACTGTGATCCTCTCAGGTAAACTGTGATTCGCTCAGGGTCAACTGGGATCCACCCATGGGAAAATGGGATCCGCCCAGGTTAAACTGTGTTACGACTTCTGTCGCTGTGACCAGCGATCATGTTTAATATGAAAGACACACACATCTACATGCCTTATAAAAACGGCATTCTGCAGCACTCATCCAGATAACATGCTGTTAACTCGTTTTGCAAAGATAGCAGCAGAAATGTCATTGCTGCATGTGCAGGGATATTAGACTTTAAAATGCTGATGGGTCATTAATGTTGGTCTCGGCAAACAATATTAGGAATCCTTTATTCAAACTACATAATATTCAGTGTCCATCGACATGAAAATAACAAAAAAGTTCATGCTGGACTCAAACCCGAGTCCCAACAGCAAAAGTCACTCCAGCCCTGCGCGTTATGAGTGCGCCACAGATCAACACGAGGTATCGAACCACCACACTATAATATTTTACATTAATCTTGTTAAAAAGTTCCAGAAAAATGCAACCCGACCATCATTTATAATGTGAGCGAATGTACACTTTAAGCCATATAATATACATATTATAATATAGTATAGCCTACTGACTGAGGTCTGTATCAAGCCTCATTAAGACCCACCGAGATCAGATATCCTAGTTTATCAGCCTGCGAGCCCACATTATGTTGTGATAAGTGTTAGTTTTACATATAAGTGTGTTAAGGTTAATCTAAAATATTATAGTGTGGTGGTTCGATACCTCGTGTTGATCTGTGGCGCACTCATAACGCGCAGGGCTGGAGTGACTTTTGCTGTTGGAACTCGGGTTTGAGTCCAGCATGAACTTTTTTGTTATTTTCATGTCGATGGACACTGAATATTATGTGGTTTGAATAGAGGATTCCTAATATTGTTTGCCGAGACCAACATTAATGACCCATCAGCATTTTAAAGTCTAATATCCCTGCACATGCAGCAATGACATTTCTGCTGCTATCTTTGCAAAACGAGTTAACAGTCACATGTTATCTGGATGAGTGCTGCAGAATGCCGTTTTTATAAGGCATGTAGATGTGTGTGTCTTTCATATTAAACATGATCGCTGGTAGATAGCCACAGAAGTCGTAACACAGTTTAATCTGGGCGGATCCCATTTTCCCATGGGCGAATCACAGTTTACCTGAGAGGAACAGTTTAACACAGCTGAAGACTTCTCCACGCTGCTTTCAAACTGTGAGTAAAGAACATGTGCTTCACTTGGAGGCTGTCTGAAGGTGTACACAGGTCTCAGATGGACTTGGTATCACATTAGGAACGATATTCAGTGATAAATCGGGCAACAATAGCTGGTTTTAAGGATTTATTCGAGCGATCAGAGCTTAACACAGCTGAAGACTTCTCCACGCTGCTTTCAAACTGTGAGTAAAGAACATGTGCTTCACTTGGAGGCTGTCTGAAGGTGTACACAGGTCTCAGATGGACTTGGTATCACATTAAGAACGATATTCAGAAATAAGTCTGGCAACAATAGCTGGTTTAAATGATTTATTGGAGCTCGCAATGTTTTGAACAGACATCCCCGATCAACTCGTTTTTCTTTTTGTAGTCCTCGCTGTTCGCGTCCGGATATTGCCATCGTAAGCACAACCTCACACACTGGTACTGAATGTGCATCAAAGTGTTCCTATCCAGCCAAATATACCAAAATATGTATGTAAACGACAGAAGAAGCGATCGAAATGTGTATTTCAGTCGAGGCCACGCCTCCACATCTGTCAACCAGTTGATCGGGGAACCAGTCAATCCGGAACACCGTTAGCATATGATTACAGTAAAGGACAGATAACAAGGTTGGGAGGGAAGGTTGCTAACTGATAATTGCATTTGTATGAAATAATTGGCTAGTGTTTATTATAGTCATCTTGTGTAAACAGCTATTGATGGCATTTATTTCCTAATGTTCTGACTTTAGCTCCAATCCTGTCATGGCACCACATTTTCAACATGTTCCATCCTATCTCCCTTAACACTTAAAATATACATAATTTAGTGTAGCAATCATATTTAAAGATAACAATTGTACTAATGAATAAAGGAACCATTTCGACCAGACTGTAGAAACACACTGCCTCCATAAGCAGTCCTAAACCCATTTTCTTCCTAGATGAGTGACCTGTGTTATCCCTCTGGGCACTCCTGACATGACACATCTTGTGAATCGTGAATTTAATTATGTCTTGTCTTTTTACCAGGGTCAACGTCCAGGAGCAGGTCAAGCGTGCCGAGCGTCAGTTTCTGAGCCTCCCGAAGCACCACCAGGATTTGCTGCCAGATGTTTTGTCCAACCTGGCCCGGATCAGCCAGTGTGCGGACCACAACCAGGGCATTATGCAGGCCATCATTCACAACAGCCTCCACATGTTTGAGAACATTGAGTACGGCGAGAGGGTAAGCTTTACTTCACCAGTTAGTATACATATAAAGTGTTCAGCTTGATTCAGTATGCATCATTAATTCCATTGGGGCGATTTCTACAGGCATGTAGAGAAGTACATTAACAATATTATACAACAGATGTGAAAGGCAAGGAGCCAACTCTCCACATTTGTGAAATGATAAAAATAATTGATAATCTTTGGGTAAAAACACTACACATTAAAACAATTATGATATGAAGAAGAAAAAACATTTTGTAGAGTGCATTAAAGATTATCATTATCTTCATTATACATTTGGGCTGTAATTTACAACTATTGTTATTATTGTCTCATCATCTGTCGACTATTTTATTCATGAATTCATTAGGTTTGTGGTAGAAAAAGGAGTTAAAGGTTGTTCCATGTTTTCCAAAGTCACTGAGATAACTATACGTTCTATTTACTGTCATAGAGCAGTTATGACACTAGAAAATAATCTCATTTAAGAAAGGGGAACCAATTTGGCAACACATTTTTAGTTGACAACTATTTGAATAATCCTTGTAGCTTTGTTTAAAAATGAGATAGAGGTCTGTATTTGAATCATTATGTAGTGCTGCATTTGAGATTTCTGCTGTGATCTTTTTTAATAAAAACATTTCCCCCTCTATTTAACTTCCAGGAGGATCCGCGGAAGGTGCGTCCCTCTTCAACGTTTGACATGGACAAGCTTAAGTGCACCATAAAGCAGTTTGTCAGAGACTGGAGCGAGACTGGCCGGAAAGAGAGGGAGACCTGCTACAAGCCGATCATCCAAGAGATCCAAAAAATATTCCCAAGCGACCAATGGTAGGAAACATTCATGCTTACCCACCGCACACCTGCATGCATGTCAACACATACCAATATGTGGATACTAAATGATACAAGCTAACATTTTTATTTTCTTCACGTAATAATATTTTGTTGTCATTTTGATGATTTGACTTACTCCATGTTTTCCATGTGATATGTGCATTTTGTACATTTTATTATGTCAGTGATGTATCTAAGGTGAGCGTGCTGATTCCGGGCGCTGGACTCGGCCGTCTAGCCTGGGAGATAGCACGTCTGGGTTACATCTGCCAAGGCAACGAATGGAGCTTCTTCATGCTCTTCTCTTCAAACTTTGTTCTCAATAGGTACAGTATTCACTGCCACTTCCAGCTTCCTTGACACAACATTTAGGGACTATAACCTCACACATAATTCTACATCTTAACCTTGTCAGTGATCACAAATTAAATCATGTTTCATATTAAATAGTTTGGCAGTGCATTCTGCCCTCCTGCTATGTTGAATACCATTTACATCCATCCACTTGTACATTTGGACTGCTCTATTCAGGTGTGAAAACGTGAACTCTCTGACCCTGTACCCCTGGATCCACCAGTTTAGCAACAACAAGAAATCCTCCGACCAATCACGACCAATCACATTCCCCGATGTCAACCCTCAGAGCTTGCCACTAGATGCAGACTTCTCCATGGTAGCTGGCGACTTTGTGGAAGTGTACAGGGACCCAGGTCAGTAGCAGCTGTGTGGACGTTTTTCCAATTTTTCAAATGGTCTTTCAGGCAGAGCTTTCTCCCATATTGTATGTTTCCGCAAGCTCAGCAAAACATTTGTATTTTTTGTATGTATAAAAATGTTTTGTACAATCTTGCAAATCTTGTTATTTCTAGCTTCAATTAACCCAGAAAATATTTCGGATTATGTTTCATTATTAGGATACACTTTACAATTACCCCAAACAAAACTGACCATCCCAAACTGTTCTGTAAATGAATAATAATTTATCATTGCCGCATTGTGCACTTCGCAGCATTATTCAATGTGATCATGTTATAATATATTTTCTTCTTGGGTTAGATTCCTGGGACTGTGTGGCTACCTGCTTCTTTATAGACACAGCTCATAATGTCATTGAGTATGTGGAGACTATCTGGAAGATTCTTAAGCCTGGTGGAGTGTGGATCAACCTGGGTGAGTCAAGTTTTGTAAAAAAATTAAATAAACATATATCTTTGTAAACTTTACAGACAAATACAATTATTTCTATGTGTAGAGAACAAGGTATTTGGACTGGTTAAAAATGTTTACCACCATACACTTGCAAGTAACATATGTTTACATTATATCATAATTGGTTTTCTATCAACTTTTGCATGTATTTACTTATGTTCCTACTTTGCTCAGCTTAGTTCAAAGCTTAAATTGGGCAATTGTTGCGTTAAAGCTGCAGAACGTTCTGCTATTACGCTTCACTTCAAAGCATTACTAATGCCATATATTGTTTAACTTTTATCTGCAAATGAAAGAAAATAACACAACAGAATGTCACTGAATAGGATGTACATGCATGTTAACCTTGTGGGTTACATTTTTATATTGAAATTAAAGTTGTATAAAAAAAAAGGTTTTACGGTTTGGGTCTCAGTAAACTTATTTCAGAGTTTAAATTCAATGTTTCTTCAGGTCCGCTGCTGTACCACTTTGAGAACATGGCCGACGAGCTGTCAGTTGAACTTAGCTACGAAGACATCAGGACAGCGATTGTCAACTATGGCTTCCATATAGAGGTAAGCAACAAAGGAGTTTTATTTATATTCATGGCTAAGCATTATGTTTGTCTTCATACATCTTGTTCCAGTTGTAAAATAGTATTTCTATTTGTGCTGCAGGTGGAGAAGGAGTCAGTTCAGACCACATACACGGAGAACGACCACTCCATGTTGAGATACATTTACGACTGCGTCTTTTTTGTGGCACGAAAACCTGCAGACGTGTACTGTAACGGTCGAGAAGAAGAAGATGACCATCTACAGAGCACCCCACCGGCTGCTAAGTCTCCACGACGAGAAGGTACTGACACCATGACGTGACAGGAAATCATTTGGCAAAAACAATTAACTTAGAGGCATACAACCATTGACTGAGCGAAGACGAGACCAACAAAAAGAAAAAGGATAAAGAAGGAAAAAAAGCAGTGGACTAATACTTTCTTTTTTTCTGATTCATTTGGAAATCACCTTTTCATCTAAAACATGGAAAACCATCTAAATACTCCACATCTCTTTCTACCTGGGTTTGAGGAGTCATTTACACTTGTTTGCCTTTTGCTTAAGTTGCTTGTGTTCCAGCTTACACTGCCTGCGCTCTTACTAATTCTCATTTCCATTGACTTTCACTGCCTGAGTGTGTGTGTGTGTGTGTGTGTGTGTGTGTGTGTGTGTATGTGTGAGCATTAGCTTTTGAAATATATATTTATTTTTTCACATATGGTGCCAATTACTATGTCTACCTTTTCATATTCATAATCAGTCAAGACTGAAAATGTAATCCAAACAGTTTTCAGCTTTTCAAGAACATGTTGTTTTAAACTTCACTTTCATCGACTTTCCCGGTTTCTAATCACAATTTTTAATAAAGCCAAGTATTTCAAAATGATACAAACCCAAGCATAGCTGCACTAAATTGCAGCTCTTGTACAAATTTAAAAAATATGTATTTAATTTAAATGTAGGAGCAAGTACAACAATACAACCAATAAACCTTTTTTTTTTTAACAGCAGACTTTTTGTCATCGTAGGAAAGGTGCAGGTACAGGCGTTTGTAAAATAACTAATGGTTTGTAAGTTGTGACAGTGTATAAGCATGCACAATATCTGGACCGTAAAAGAAGCTAAATGGAACTCAGCCCCCTTAATTGTATGCTTCCTATGTGTCCTTGAAAGTTTTCTTTTAAATTTGAGGGGAAAAACATCAAGGCCTTGAAAGTTTAAGCTGTCTGCATGCGTCTCCATCTGTTACGTCGTTCTTTAACATGCCACCTGCCTTGAGCAATTGCGAACGTAATCAACCTTGATCCGTGTTTATGCTGTGCTGGGTGCCTGAAATGGAAGGAATTGGGCCTTGAAATTCCTTGAATTTAGTGTTTAAGGAAGCATTGGAACCTTGTTATTTACACCTGTCTCTTTTGTTTAAGGTTCAAAAAATGTAATCAATGGATGTGAGACTGGAGATTTTTACAAGGGTTGGGGGCCACGATGGGAGGACTTATTCCCATTTATTACTACATTTAAAAAAGTATTTGCCTCAAAATATACTTGAAGTACCAAAAGTGGCCCATTTCAGAATGTTACATGGGACATTTTCTGTCTTGCCTATGAAATTACCATAGACTGTATATATAAAGGAAATTACACACAATCCATGCCCAAAATCTCCTCCTCCTCCTTCTTGTTGACCAATCATAAACATATTTTTAATAACAGTAATTTTACAGTGAAAGTGTGTCCCTTAACATGTGCCCAACCCTGTTGAGTACAACATGACATTAAATAAATGACAACAAATATAAAATAGTCTCCGTTTGAAATGACAGTTTTCAGATTATATATTTGTTAAATACGCAATTCATTTTGTATTGCTTTTTATTCTTAATGTTTTTAATAGTGCTACTTTATCGCTTCAACTCTTGGCAAAAATGTTCACAATCAGGTTTTGAGTCTGCCCATCTCTTTTTATGAATATAAAAGTTCTCCAAAAATAAGATTTACAGCACAAAAAAAACGTACTCTTTGTTAGGATCATGGAGGATGATGAGCATGAATGTACCGCCACCATGGATGACCGCCACAGGAAGAGGGGAGGCGGTGGGCGGGGATAGAATGCGGTGCTATACTCTGATTGGTCAAGCAATAAATACACTTCCGGTACTTTTTGTTGTGCGACTGAAGCATGGAGTGAAGCCACATCCTTGCTAGTAACAATATCAACTTCCCACGTGTTTTTGGTTTATTGCGATATACTATTGTGCGCACATAGCTTACGTTAATGGCGAAGAGACGCGCCGACGACACAATTCATTACGAGGCTCCATCTAAAAAGTGTTACAGTTCCCTGAGCAGCGCTGACCTGCAACTGGATAACATGGATCCCACCGGTGGGGGTGTGAGCGACACAAAGAGGCCGCATTTCTTCGAGGACAACGAGAAACAAGAAGCAGCGGCTCTTAATCGCAAACCTACGCACTTGTGCGACACCATGAAGCACGCAGCTAATGTTTCGACCGTGCAGAGTTCTGGAAGATTCCATGAACCTCACAGCTCCAGCGCGCTCTCAAACTCCAAGAAACGACCTCGAGGTGACTGCGCGAGTTCAGAGACTGTTCTTCCTAAAGCTGATGATAAAGTAAGTTAATGGCAACATCGAAAGTGTGCAGATGGTGGGTTTCTTTAGGGAAAGTGTAATGGAAGTAAATGTCCACTAGATGTCTCCATTTACCCATTATATCGCTCATCTGGGCATTAGATCTGAGTATTTTACCAAACTTAAGTTAACAGATAGTTACAACAGTACTCAACATTGATTACTAGAAAACGTCAAAACAATTGTTAAACTTTTTTTTTTACAATTTTAACTTTAATTCAAATTGTAATAGATGAACAGAATGAATGTTATATTATACATTTAAGCTTCTTTTATATCAAAAATGATATATTCAGCTTTTTTCCCTTTGCAAAACCATCATCTTGAGTAACTATACTTCAATTAAAAACATGTTTCAGTAACTGCCTACAATTTTGTAATTTAAGTATGCGGCTACTTTCTCCATCACTGTGTCTGAGCTGGTTAAATGTATGGTTCAGATTTGGTGATCTCACAGATGACGGCAAGTCTAAACAATTGTTTGTATTGCTTTGCCCATTTCTCCTGATCTCATTCCCTTTCTTTCTTTTTCTCAACACGCTCAGGCGGATGAAGACCCCAACACTGAAGACTGCTCTTTCAACTGCTTCCAGTACTGGAGGGTCCCCTTGCTTAAACTCGACCTCTCACTGCTGGAAGATGCCAATGAGAATTCCCAGAGCGGAAAAGACGAGTCAAAAGTCAAAGACTCTTCTCCCTATGCCATGGAAACTTGAAAAGGACAGGAGCAAGCTAGTCTGCTCTCCTCTGTCCGTACAACAGCAGTCAAGCGTGGTGATGAAAGGGGATGCTTTTGAGCATAGAAAGTTGTACGCATCCAGGTGAGATGCAACAACCTTAAGTCTCAGACTGCCAAAGTTCAGTGATATTCTGTAAGTGAGCCTCGTGCAGGTTTAAGACCCCACTGAGCTGCAAAAATACTCGTGGTGACCAAAATTGTGGGGAAGTGCATTTTGATGGAGAGGTTGCCTGTGCATCCTCAAATTGTAGATTGATTTTAAAGTTTCTACAGATTTGTATGAACAATATGTTGGACTGCCTTGGGTACAATTGTGACTTAGGCTTTTGGTTTTGTGTATACCTACCTTGCAAACCTGGTATTGGAACACAACAGTTCATATTATAATCATTCTATAATATCTTTCAAAGTGTACTCTATGTAAGTCATTCCTAAATTGCTGTTTGTAGATCATGACTAAATTGTAGATGTTGGATAGATTTTCTAAAACACCTTATTAAAGGCTTTAGTGTATGCTGTATTTGTATGTGACTGACACACTATCACTTGTCCCAGCCATCTGTGTTCATTGGAAATATAATGGTTTTCTTATACTGTGTGATTATGTTTGTTTTTTCAATATTAGTGGCAGTGCCATTCCATCCACAAAAAAATTAATCATAAAAATCCTAAAATTAAATATAATCTGTAATAACCTAAAATGTAGAGTGACATAGACAAATCTAACCATACAATTAAAATGTCTTTAACTAGAATAAAATGTCAGGAACTGAAATCTCATCCACATAGGTATTCAATGTTGTTCTGTAGACAGTTGGATTAAATAGTGAGTGATGTGAATTTGCTATGATAAGGGAAAATGCAGTACTTTACATACAATTATCTGTAGAAAACATCATTTAACATTAAGTTACACATATTATAAAAAATACTAGATTTTGTGGATATATTTGATTAACATTTGTGATTATAGTAAATGGCAGCTCTGACCACAATATCCTGATTGATACATTGATGTGATGCAGGGAAGACCTATTGCTTAATTAAAAAATGTAATCCATTATTATTATTATTACTTGAAATCACATACTAAATCGTAAAATGGGTAGGCACTAAACACTGATTGAGTTTGTATAGCACAGTACGATGTAAATGTGATTTTGAACACAGCCATTGTCGTGCTGAAAGGTGAACTTTATCCTCAGTCTCAGGTGACATGCGCTCTATTGGTTTTTCTTCAAGGATTCCTCTGTATTCAGCTATAATCACCTTTCCTCAATTCTGACCCCTGTCCCTGCTGATGAGAAGCACCTCCATAGCATGATGTCGCTGCTACCGTGCTTCACAGAGTGATGAGAGGCTTCTCAATTCTTACATTTCCCCTCCTCGACTGGAGCAGAGGAGAGAGGAGGGGAAGCAGCAGACGTTTAAAGAAATGAGAACTCCTCTCCTCTGAGCGGTCAAATTAAAGCGACGTCCGTTCATTATTACGTGGCAACAGCTGCATCAGCTGTCGAGTGTTTTGTCATAGCACTGTATTTTATCATCTCTGTTAGATCAGCTGAACATTGTTCCCCCACATATTTACTTAGAATTCATTGAGAGTGCGGTATAATGAGACAATAACAGGCACAGATGCGGACACACACACAAATATATTTATATAAATATATACAATTTAAAGTATGAGAGCTCAGCACTCTCATAATAACGTAACACAATCAGAGACTGGATATATCCCCCATCCCCCCCCCCCCCTCTCTCTCTCTGGTCGCTGACATGGGGAATTGAAATTACGGGCCAAAAGTTGTATTTACAAGTAGCCTATTAAAAGTAAGCAGAGGACACCAAACCAACTGAGACCGTCTGTCCGCCGCATCTACGCACAGTACAACACACACTGTACCACACACACCTACAGCTCCTAAAGCATATCAGGCTACAGCCGTTGTGTATTTTATTATGTGAAGCACTAAATGGTCTTAGAAAAATATCGACTTTTTGTTTGTAGTTATCTAGCCTACTAAACTAAAGCAAATAAAGAGAGTAGGCCTGTTATACTCAGTGATATATATTATACACACTGCTCTGCTTTCTGCACGGACCTCACAGCTGTTCTCTCTGGAAACATGGCGACGCGATGAGAGCAGTTTCTAAAATAATATCCAGGGGATGCATGCATTGGCTGAGATAAGTCCGGCCGTGCGTCACGCCTCCACCGTTCCCGGAAATGCATCCGCGGAGGAGCCGTGAAGGAACCATCAGTGTATCCTCGGTTATAGCTCCTCCAGAGAGCCTCCTCGATCCTCGGTCCTCGGTGTGCATTTAGAGAAATGAGATGTCCTTCAAAATGGCGCGCTGAAATTCATTTCCGGGTCACTACCGGAGGACCGAGGAGTCGAGGAGGGGAAATTTGAGTATTGAGAAGCCTCTATGGTATCAGCCAGAAGAGCAGTACCCGGTGTTGGCCATATAGTGCTTAGAGAACCCTTTTCCTCTCACTATTCCAATCCCTTAAATGCCACCTGGCAAACTCAAAGCAGGCTGTCACGACCTTTCTCAAGAGTTAGGGCTGCTCGATTATGGCAAAAATCATAATCTCGATTATTTGGGTCAATAATTGATATCACAATTATTAAAACCGATTATCCATTTACTTTGAAAACATCAATTTATTGGAGAAAATGTGTACAGTATGTTTTTAACAGTTGATTACCCTGAACTGTAAGTATAATTCAACTGAAAAACCAATAATTTAAAAAAAATCGTTTTATTTCGTAATCGTTGCAAACCATAATCGTAATTGCGATTAAAATACGATTAATTGAGCAGCCCTATCGCATGGCCGTATCTACCATTGAGGTCACCGAGGTCCGGACCTCGGTAATATTTTCCGAGCTGTGTGTATAACAAAACTTGTGAAATAATTACACTAAACGGGGTTCTTTGTAGTACTTCCATTTACTGACCATGGGGGCGCTGCATAACTACGTAGCCTCGATTAAAGCAAACAGAAGAAGACGACATGTATCAACAAATCACCGCAGCCCGGACTTGTACCGGAGCAGCGGAGGAGTGATGAGGTATCTAGAGATCTGAGTCCAGCGGGCTGCTTGTGTTTCTGTTCATCAGGACATCATATGAGCAGCAGATCCTGTGTGAACGCTCTACGTTAGTCAGTGGACGTCCGACAACATGCACACTAACTTATATTGCAGCTATAGGCTATACTTTGGTTTAAATTGCGTGAATAAACTAGCTAGAGAGCTAAAGTTAATTACATTCATCCAATGTCAGAAGGATTACCTTTTAACAAACGTTGTAATGCTTTTATTTTTATTTCAATTTGAGTAAAACATCGAAGATATAACCAGTGGTGTAGTGGGGATTTTTTTACTGGGGGGACGCTATTTTAATTAGGCAATCCCAAAGAGAGATAGTCCTAAATTTT